CTCGGGAGGCTGAGACAGCAGGATTGCTTGAGCCCAGGAGTTTGAGGTTGCTGTGAGCTAGGCTGACGCCATGGCACTTACTCTAGCCTGTGCAACAAAGCGAGACTCTGTCTCAAAAAAAAAAAAAAAAAAAGAATTTAACTTAGGACTGGCAGGAGATATAATACCTCGAAGTATCAGTATAGGTACATAGAAAATCCTTCCTACAGCTCAAATTTTTGGAAGAATTTGAACAACTGCTGGAAAAGTATGTTATACCAACCAGCACAGACTTTAGAGAACAGAGTCAAGAAGAGCTAAAACTGAGAACTGAGTCTTGCAAAAAAGTGCTATGACCAGCAAAAAGAACTTTATTTTTGTACTTCTCTTTGGAGCAAGAAGAAGAAAACCTAGGCCCCATTGTTTGGACAGAGTAACGTTTATCAGTGGCAGAGAGAAAGCAAAATTTACTTAAGTTCTGTTTTGAGTCCATCTCAAAATGAATGGTTATCAGATGAGGAAGGGTCATACTGGCATTGACAAGAGGATTGAAGCCCTGATTTCAGATCTCCTGGCCCATATGTGTTGTGCCCAGAACACAAGGAGAACTGGCAGTTGAGATTCATGAAGCTAGTGTCAGTAATCTTTCAGGGAATGGAAGAGAGGTGTTGGCAGACTAAAAGCACTCAAAAGTTTCAGGATGCAAAAAGTTCTTGCCCTCTCTAGATTAGTGAGCTTGGTGTCACTCTTGGAAAATTCTGAACTAGATTATTCAGCAAGTAGGCTGGGAACACTCTAAGGGAAACAGTGAGCCCTGAGCATCAGAAAGAGTTAGGCTTGCCAGACCATCCTCACTGTCTTTTTAGAAATGCTTACCTGCTTGGTAGACAAAGGAAGTACTGTAGACCTTATATAGGTGAAGTTTAGCAAGACATTTTGAGAATATTCTGACATCATTATAGGCAAAACAGAAATGTCCGGAGAGCATCCAGAGAGTGAGGGGCTTGGTGATGGGAAGGTTGGGTTGATGTATAACTGGTTGAATGAGCATACCCAAAGGGTAATGATGTCAGTCCATCAGCCTGTCTGCCTAGCCCTGTCTTGTTCTCTGTTTAATCAAAGCCTGGGATGAGAACATCGATGGTGAATTTATCAGTTTTGTCAGTGATGTGAAGTCAGGAAGAAATGCCAATATGATGGATGCCAGAGTCAGGTTTCAGAAATGGCTGAACTGCCTGAAACACCAGCCAGATAATGCAGAGTTCTGCTCTTAGCTCCAAATAATCAACAGTACAAACTAGATGGGGAAGAAGAGGTCCAAGGCAGCCCATGAAAGCCTGAGGGAGATTTCATTGACAGAAAGAGTATGGTATGAGTTGGTAATATGATGAGGTTACAAAGAATAGACAATTTGATGACAGTTTTAATAGAAATAAAGTATTCCAAACAAGAGAGATCATAGTCCCTCTGTGATCTGCACTGTTTAGAACACATACTGTATTTATTTCCACACACAACAGTTCACTTCCGAACATGACATTCTGGCTTTTGACAAGCTAGAATGAGTCCAAGGGAGAGTGACTTGAATGGGTGGAGGATTTCAGAACTTGTCAAAAATGTAGTTGAAAGTTTGGACCGCAGATACTAGGGAAAGAAACTGTTGATGGGATGTGAAGAGCAGCCTCAGGGATTTGAAAGGCTGCCGAGGGAAGATGGATTGAACTACCTTTGGGCAACTTGAAGACCAGTAGTTTGAAAATAGCAGGAAGGCAGATTGTGCTCTGCAAAAGGAAGACGGCCCTATCAACACCTCCCTTGGGTGAACAAAGGCCTCAAGGGTTTTTGTTGTCCTGCAGTTGGACCTTCCCAGAGCACCAATGGTTGACCAGGGCCCGCAGCGTCCACTCAAGTGGTCAGGAGCCCTTTCATCCCCATCGCAGAAGTCCCCTCTCTAAGCTCAGGGCAAAAAAACCTTTGCCCAGCAGGGGGACTGACTTGGCCAGAGGCAGTTGGATTTTAGGCCCAAGGTAAAGGCAAACATTTCTATTAAACCATCAACATTCTTGTGGGAGGAGCATACAGACTTTTAGAGGCCACCAGCTAACATCAACACATTAATGTATCCATCAGATATATTTTGAGTACCTATGACATCCCAGGCACTATTGATGCCTCATATGAGTCATCTCATTTAATCCTTATGACCTTATTGTTGTTTATTCCCAATCAAGAGGATACTGAAGCTTAGGGAGAAGTTAAGTCACATGTCCAAGGTCAAATAGGACTCAAACCCAGAACTTGTGCTGCTAGTCACTGTCTATGGCAGCATGGCCTTGGCCTCTGGCAGTCCCCTGTGGGTGTAGGCTCTGCCTCCCTAGAAGCCCTTCTCCCATCCAGCCCTCAAAGCCCTGTCTTCCCCTCCACTGGGAACTCAGGGAGAAAACAGCCCAGCTGAAAAATTAGGCCACGCTGCCGAGCACACTACTTATTTTTTTATGACTAAGATTAAGCTGACAACCATGCAAAACATTGCAAACCTGTGTCGGCTGCAGATTTAATACCTCACCCAGCCCACACAAATAATTCATGCTTCTGCATCGATGTCCAGAAAAAACAAATCAGCAAAAAGCTGGGCTCCTGCGTGTGTGCGGAGCAGCCGCGTTTCCATCGAAGCAGCATGCCGGAAATACCCAAGCTCCAGGACTGCAGATCTAGCATTTTGCAAATTTTTTTCTTTTAAAAGATTAAAGTACGTTTCAAATGATTGAAGGTTGGTGGGAGGTGTAAATGTGGGCACTTGTCACATTAATTCTTCAGATGATTAAGTTCTTTTCCATTTCTTTAAAGCTGTTTGCAGTTGGGTTTGATGTCCTCGTTCTGGGTGAGTGTGTTGTGGCAGTTACCAAGGTGACTTTAGCTGACTTTCAACAATTTATTTTTCCTCCGGCTTGAGACGTCTCTAGCCCTGTGTGCTGTTGATTCCTCTCCACCAGCTCTCACCCCACCTCCCATTGCTATTCATCAGCATTTTTGCCTGCACCAGAGAAGCTGGGATTGTCCTGCAGGCCCCGCCTGCCAGGCCAGGCCTTGGCCCCTTTCAGGAGCAGGGTGGTTCGTGTGGATATGAGAACCAGTTACCAGAGATGGCACAGGGGAGTGATTGTGAGTCACACCTGGCTCTTCCACTTAAATACACACTGAGACCTTAGGCTTGTCACCTCATCTCTTTGAGCCTACAGTGGCATTTGCTGTGAGGACTCAGTGAGTGAACCTGTGCTCTTAGCAGAGGGCCTGGTGCAGAGTCAGGGCTCCACAAATGTGGGCTGCTGTTGTTTCCTGAGTTCTGCTCTTATTTGGGCCCCAGGGGCACCCCTATGTCACCACTGAGTCCCCACCCCTCAGAAGAGAGGGGTGGCAGCCCTGGCGGAAGGGAAAGAGAGTTGGTCAGAAGTCTGAGGCTCCCACTCTGGCCTGCCACAGACCGGCTCTGTGGCCTTGGACGCATTACCGGCTCTCTCTTGTAAAGGAAAGAGGTGGATTAAACAACCCTAGAGTTTCCTTCCAGTCCTGAAATACCGTGACCCTCTTGGCCATGGTATTTGTCTCCTTCACAGCTCCTGTGAAAGGGTCTGCCAAGGAGAAGCCAGGGGGAAAGGAAGTTTCAGTGTTTGCTTTAGGAAGCCAGAGGAAGGAACCGCTTTATGAAAGAGCAGTCAAATCTGAGGGTAGATCCTCACAAGGGAGAGGACCAGCTGGTGGGAGCGGTCCCCATTACCTTGGGAGCATTTATAAACCACTGCCTCCGCGGGGCCCTAGCTGTCCAGTGTTGTCCTTCATCTCTGCCTGCTGACCGCACACCCTTCCTGAGGAGGTGCTCTGCCTGGCCAGGCGCCTCACTGGCTATAACCCCCCGCCCCCCACCATGTGTGAGGAGGTTGGCCTGTTCCTCAGTGGCTGTCTGGCTGTCATCCTGGGTGGCTTCTGCCTGCCACTTGAATGATAAATAACTAGAGCTTCTCACCCAGTATTTTGATGGACACTTGGGGAATTGTTCTGAGATTTACAGCCCAAACCAGGATCCGGCCTTTTGAATGGGATCAGTGGGTAACTCTTCTTTCCAGCTGAGGCAGATTTGAGAGGTTGTCAGTGGGAGCAGCTGAATTTGAAAGAGCAAATCTTAGAATGCAAAGGGACCCCATGGCCCAGCTGTGAGGCAAGCTGTTGGTGTGGAGCAGGGTAGGAGGGAGTGTGGGACAGCAGTGACCGCTCACTGTGGCTAAGGCCATAGTCAGGAGGAATCTGGGGCCTGGAAGCCCAATGGGGGATGGGAGGAGGTCTGGTTCTACCTCCCAGACAAGCCTACTGGTCTACTCCTGAGAACCTGGCTTCCAAGCCCTCAGTGAGGATTGTATCCTGTCCTGGTTAGATGAAGAGTGTGGATGTTACTGCAGCTCCCAGCCACTGGCAGGAGTGTGCATGCTCAGAGCCTTCTTAGGCTTAGCTGGACAGAAGCTCCTGGAGCTGCATGTCATGGTGCTCTGCCACCCCAAGCTTGGAGAGCTTGGGTCTGAGGCTGCAGGGCAGGGGATAAAGGGCTCGCAGAAGCTCCTGCTGATATCACAGGAAAAAACAAACCACTGTGCCATAAACTTTAAGATAGTGTGTTGACCAAAGATGCAGGCTTTAGAATCAGACCTTTCTGAGACTAGACCTCAGCTCTATCCACTGTCTGGCTGTGCAACCTGGACAAGATACTTAGCCTCTCTGATCTGCAGTTCCTTGTCTGTAAGCAGGAGATAATAGTAGTACTCATATCATGGGAGCATTGTGAGGGGCAGCTAGTCAGTGAGAAATGTTTGGCACAGTGGCTGGCACCTGACAAGCACATATTGAATGGTGGTTGTTGTCATCATCAGTCACCATCGTCATCATTATTCAGGAGCACAACTGGAGACTCCCATTTTGTTCCTACCTGTGTTTTTTTACCTTGTGCTAAACCTGTTCCTGTGCTTGCTTCACAGGAGCCGCAAAGATAGCCTGGAAAGCGACAGCTCCACGGCCATCATACCCCATGAGCTGATCCGCACTCGGCAGCTCGAGAGTGTGCATCTAAAATTCAACCAGGAGTCAGGAGCCCTCATTCCTCTCTGCTTAAGGTGAGCCCACCACAGCACCCAGCTTGGCCTCCAGGGGACATTTTAGAGCTTCCCTAAGCTCTTCCCCCAACATGCACATCCTCCAGAGTCCTCAAGGGGCCACAAGGCTCTCACCTGGCCACTTCCCCAAGTGAGGTGCTTGTCAGGGGCTGGGGCTCAAGGAAGGGAGGAGAACTACTCCACCATGGGCCTGTTTGGAAGCCTGAGGACTCTGAACCAGCCAGGAGCCCCATGTCACTGGACCATGCAGTATTCTCCCTGCCCAGGCTTCTGCCCTGCCTAAGTGGTGAGAAGTCTTTGAGCAGTGGCAACCAGTTAGCCCTGTGGATCCTTCCTAGAGAGGGGCTTTCTTCTCTGCATCTCTTGTCTATCCCAGAGCAGTGGCAGCCCCCAGTAGGCCCAGGACTATGGCCAAAGGGCCCCATTGGTTTTTGGTCTGATTACCTGGTTGATAGACCTTCCTCATTTGTGAGTTTTGGAGTCTGAGAAACCACAGGGATTAGATGCTGGAGAACTCGCCTTCGTCTTGAGAGTTGTTCCTCAGCCCTGTTCCTCTCAGGAAAGTTCTGTGACCCAGGGGGTCTCAATGCCCCCAGCCACTCCACAAGCCCAGGGTCAGGGAATGGCAGGGTCACCAGTAGCATTGAGTTGTCGGGGTGAGGGTTCTGGTGGATTGGGCTCTATTTCTCCCGCTTGCTGCGTTTCTCATGCAGAACACTCAGTTCTTCAAATCCAGTGGCCAGCCCAGCAGACTCCTTGGGGGACCAGGAAGCCCAGCTGTGTCCCTTCTGCTGCTGTCCACAATGCCAGAAACCCAGCCCTGCGGCCAGACTTCAGCTCTCTGCTCAGGGATGCTGCACTGGGCTGAATCTGTTGCATCTGTCTTCCTCCACAGCCATTTGGGCTTCCACCCTCACTTGATAGCAGTGGAGGCCACAAGAGTAACTCTAAACTCAGAGTACAGTGACAAGGAAGAAGGAGTTACACAGTTTGGACCCTCTCCAGTGTCCCCTAAACCCAGAGAAGGAGCTTGAAGGGTAACCAGGAAGGCCAGCTATCCTGGGTAGCAGGGCCAAGATAACATGTGATCAGAATGAGCAGGACCTGGCAGGGCCACTGCCAGGACCCCAGTCGCTTCCTCCCCAGCACTTCTCTGGCCCAGGCTCAGAGCCTTTAGACTGGAGAAGGGTTAATCTCAGGCACCCTGAAAGCAAAGAGCAAGTTTTTCTTCCTTTGCTGACTGGCACCTCTGCTCCAGTGGTTGCCCCTACTTGCCCTTTCCCCAGGTATATTTCCAGACTGGGGATTAACGGTAACTTCTCATGGCTCCCTCAGAGTGACTAGGGAGCCCACTAAGCCCACTAGGCTTCAGCATTTTTTTTAAGGTGTGCTTATGGCCTTTGGGCTAGCCATCTAAATGTTCTGGGAAGGCCCAGGAGCAGGTGGAAGATTCTCCCCTAGGCACTGTGAAGTGTCCTGCTCTAAAGGGACTATGCTGTCATCCCAGGGGCCCTAAGATTTGTTTAGAGGCCTGGCGTGGTGGCTCATGCCTGTAATCCTAGCACTCTGGGAGGCTGAGGCAGGAGGATCACTTGAGGTCAGGAGTTAAAGACCAGCCTAAGCAAGAGCAAACCCCCATCTCTACTAAAAATAGAAAATAGCTGGGAATGGTAGCATGTACCTATAGTCCCAGCTACACAGGAGGCTGAGGCAGGAGGATCACATGAGCCCAGGAGTTTGAGGCTGCTGTGAGCTATGATGGGGCACTCTAGCTGGGGTGACAGTGTGAGACCCTGTCTCTTTAAAAAATTTTTTTTTTTGTTTAGATGCTACTTCACGTCAGGGCCTGCTTACCTCTGAGCATAACCTTGGGCACATCGCTAACTTCCCTCTCTGGCCTCAGCTTTCTCACCAGCACGAGAGAGAGGTGAACTCTACCACATCTGCAGGTCTTTTGAACTCTGCTCTAGAGTTGGTTCTGCTAGCTGCTAGCTTTGAACACTTTGGAAGGATGACATTAGCAAACTTGTGAGAGAAGCTTCTCTTTGAAGGTGTTAAAATGAACGAACATGTTTGAAGAGGCTCCTGTTAGTGGGCAGGTGGGCAGTCAAGAGGGCATCTGCCAGGCACCCTCGCCCAGGGAGCATATTCCCCATAGTTCCAGAGCCTCGGCCAGGCCTGCAGCTCTTGGGGCTGTTTCCAGGCCCAGCTCCTCACTGTCTCCATGTTCCCACCCCCAGGGGCAGGCTCCTGCACGGACGGCACTTTACATATAAAAGTATCACAGGTGACATGGCCATCACGTTTGTCTCCACGGGAGTGGAAGGCGCCTTTGCCACCGAGGAGCATCCTTACGCAGCTCACGGACCCTGGTTACAAGTGAGAAGGCTCTTTTTCTTCTCCCTACCTTCTTTCTGTAGGCTCTTCCCTTGCCCGCTCCACCTTCCTTTCCCTTGGCAGCTCTTGGTGGCACCCCTTCGTGAGGGGCTGGTTATGAAATGCCTCTTGGATCAGGGGCTAAGGTCTGTGTGTGGACGTGGAATGTGGATGCTGCTGCTACCCCAGCTCCAGAAGCACTTTCTGGCCTTCCCTCCCACCCCCACCCCCTATCACCTGAGACACACATAACTCTCCAGGCCCTGGCCGTTGGTAGGACTCAGTGGCCAGGGCCTCCCCTTCTCGCTCCCCCTCCCCACCTAATGGTTCTGCCATTCCTCCTGATGGAAACCCAGTTTGTCTGAGCAGAAACCTGCTGGCTTGTCCAGAACACTTTGTCCCTCCTTTGCTCTTCTGGCTGAAGCAAGCTTCAGAGCTGATGCCAAGCAGGGTGCTGGGGCCTAAGAGCCATAGGCCTCCTTCCAGCCCACCTGCCCCCAGTCGCTAATGGGTGCTCGGCCTGTTCCCCAGCACTGCCAAGTGTATGGGAGGGACAGCATCCTTTTTTGGTGTTTGTTTGATTGTTTGTTTGTTGGGGTGGGGGGTAAGGAACTCCCTTACCTCTCTTGGGAGTATCATAAAGAAAATCTGACCCTAACACAAAAGGTGACCATGCCTTTTTTGTGGTGTGTTGGAGGGATGGGAGGTTACAGGAGAGGGGGAGAGAATTAGGCTGGTTTTATGGGTTTAACACAGTCTAAGGGTATATACTGTGAAGCATATATACTCTTAGAAGCATATATACTCTTAGTGCGGGCATGCTTTTTGTCTCTGTGTGTCTGCAGAATTTCTCCTCCTTCATGCTGGGCCCCCTTCTCCCCCACCACCACCAAAATACTAACCCTTAATTAAAACAAACAGCAAACAAAGGACACCAACTACACTCCCCAGACTAAGCCGAGGTAGAAATGGAAGCTAGTGCTTTAGGGATATTGTGTTCCATAAATTATCTTGCCTTTTTTCCACTGTTGTTATTACATTGTTTCGTAACAAAATTACTTTGAACCATAAAGTTATAAATACATTTTAAAAGTCCCACTTGGTAACATTAGATTTCTGTCCATGTGGTTGTTGGTAGTTACTGTAGCAAAAGCTCTGAAGTGTAACATTCGAAATTAGCCCAGTGCAAGTGGAAAGGGCCTGCCCCCATGCCCCACCCCCGGCCCTGGCTGCCCCCACTGCCTCTGAGAGGAACAGGAAGGAGCAGGCCTCTCTCCTGGGAAGAGCTGGTAAGGAGGTGGGAGGTGGGCACTGTGCAAGAGACCCCCGCCCCTGAGAGTTCGCAGGTCATTATTGCCAATAGAGGACAGTGTGCTGAGAGGTCTCAGCAACAGTGTCCCCAGATAATGTGTGTATTGTAGGTTTAGGTACATTTTCTTGGGAGAATAGGACTGGGTCTCCCCAAACTCAAGAACAAATTCCACCCAGTTACACTCCACATCCTCAACTCCAAACCTGCCCTTGGAGCTCTGCCCTCCCTCCCAGACTATCCTTCCTGCCCTGAGGAGGGGAGTCAGCAGCTCGGGAACCTTGGCCCCCAGAGGACTCACCAGATGTCATGTTGCCCCTCATCCCCTGGCTGCTGGGGTTCCCACTCCCAGTGCCACAACCCCCTCACCTCCCTGGCAGCCCCTCAGTGAGCTTGAGCACTCAGCACCCGCTGGCTCCCCAGCACAGGGTCCCCTCCTGTGGGCTGTTGCCTGGGGAACCAGGGAGCGGTGGGAACGAGCCACTGGCCTCGGCGTGTTTCAATAAAGTTGCTGTGCTGGGAGATGCTTAATCAAAGGCCTGTGCTATGGGCTCATTAGTGTGGCCCACCACGGGGCCCGGCTCACAGGAGAGCTCCTGGGAAGGCTGGCTGGGGCCCCACTCCCCAGGCACGCACCCTTGATCACCGACTGGTTTCTCAGGCCCTTTCCAAGGAGCCCTGGGAAACCCTCTGACCCTTACCCCAGCCCGAGTCTCAGGGCTGGAGCCAACACCCACCCCGGCCCTCCTCCCCTCCCTGCAAGCAGTCAGCACTTTCTGCATCTGACTGCCAGCCCGCTTACCCTGTTAGGGTCCTGCCACAGTGGTCACAGGCAGCTCCCTAGCTTGTGGGAACCTGGGCTTGTAACTACTTGTGGGCCTCTAGGTCTCCCAGGGGCTAGCTGCTGTCTCCCCAGGAGTCTGCAGGACACCCTGGAGGCCTGGCGTTAGACTTGCAGTCACCAGGGAGACCCCACTTCACCGGGCCAGGAAAGGCCCCAGGCTCTGAGGAAGGAGACCTCTCCACAGAGAGGACTACCCTTGCTCCCTGCAGGCTTCTCGCTCATGCTCCCAGAGCTTGGGGGTGTCTCCTTGGGCCTTGTGTGCCCAGGCCTGTTGTGGGGAGAGGAGCAGGAAGGAGCTGAATGCAGCAAACACAGGACGTGGAGAGACCCAGTCTTCTCTCCCCTTGGCTGTTGCTTGAACTCTCCCTGTTGGTCCCAGCTGAATTGGGAGGGGCTGGGCTGGCTTTCTCGCAGCAGCCTTCAACAGCCCTGGAAGCCCTCACTCCCAGCCTTGGCACCTGGCTCTGGCTGCCAGCCCAGGCCTGTTATCTCTTGGGGGAAAGGCATGGCAAAGACACCCTACATGGGGGAAGAGTGACAAAGGAGAGGCTGAGAGGAAGAGGCAGAAGGTTAGGGAACCTGAGCCCCTCTCCGGAGCTTGTGGAACAGCCCCAGACAGGCCTTCACTCCCAGCTGCTCCCTCACCTTCCCCATCTCTCCAGACCCGGGAGAGTCAGGGCCCCAGTGCACGGAAAAGCAGGGCTTTCTGTGACACCAAGTGGGGCGCAGTGGACATGCTCTGCTTTATGGAGGATCTGCAGGGAGGGGGGCAGGCAGCCAGCTCCAGTTCCATAGGCTTTTCACTTTCCGGAGAATGACACCTTGACTCCGTCTGCCCTGCTGTTTTCTGTTTTCATCCTTGTGGAGATTATAAAGCCTTTTGGCCAATCCCAGAGCTGTGCAGGGGGGTCTGCAGACCTTGGGAGGGAGGCCTGCTAAGGTCCCCTCCTGCACCTCCTTCCCCAGCATTTGTTCATTCCAGCGGCTTTAACAAGCCTCTCTCCCTCAAGCCTGTCACCACTGGGCTGTTAGTCTTCTGAGCAGGATCCCGGCCCAGAGCTGATCGCTCATCTGTCCCCAGCCAGGGTTGGTCTGAAGGGGGAGAAGTCTCAGCCCCAGGGGTCACATAGCGGTCACATCACCAAATCTGAGAATACTTTTTTGGGCCCTGCAATGCTTTCTCAGCTGTGTGATGTCTGGCAGCTCACCCAGGTGCCACCCCTAGTCCCAGTCGCTCCTTGCCAGCCTGATGGGAAGCCCTGGGCTTGGGAGAAGACACCCAGCAGCCATTCCAAGTGGGCTCTGCCGTTCCAGGCCAGGCTGAGGAAGTTGCTGCTGAGCTGTCCTCCTACCTGGCAGCTGACTCACCACTGTCCTCAGGACAAGCCCCTGCATTCTCCTGTCCCATCCAGCCATTTGGATGTGTATGAAAGACAACTCAGGCCTTGGGCAGCTCCTCTTTCATGCTTCTGCTGTTTTTCCTTCCACTGGTGAACCTGGCCATACCTGATGTTCCTGGAGACCTTTGCTGGGACCATCTCAAAGCCCTGATTATCTGGGGATACAGCCACTAAGGTTTAGAGCCCAGCAGTGTGCCCAGGGAAGTACCCTTCCTTGGCAGAGAGGACTGTGATGCCCTGCTGTGTCCCTAACAGCCAAAAGCCAGGGCAGAAGAAGCCTGAGCCTGCTTCTGGCCACCAGAAGCCAACTTTTCACCACCCACCAAGAACAGGAAATGAGTAAGGCCTCACTGTGCCCTGCTGCAACCAGCTACCTGCAGCACCACAGGCCTCTGCCCCTGAGCCTGGGGGTGGGGGGTCCTCCAGGCTGTTTTCTGGCTTTTGTCCAGCCTATAGAGAGGGTTAGGGGTAAGGGACACAGACAGGACTGCTTCCTTGTCCCTGCCTCCTCCGCTGCCATCGTGGGTGCCAGAGCAGCTCCTTGGCAGGCCCTACCACCGTAAACAACACATTTCCTTCCCTGAGAGAAGGAAAGGGAGGGAAAAGAAAGCCAAACTTGTTGGGAAGCAAGAACAACGTGTCAACATGAAGAGCAAACAAGGCCCTGGACAAAGTGTGGATTGTCATACCAAGGGGAAGGAGTGGGCATTGTCAGCCACTCTTTGCAGACACAGAAATATCATTGACCACAGACATTTGAATCGGTGTCAGATCTCCAGTAGCTGGGCCCCTGCCTGCAACCAGCCTGGCCTGCCCAGGGCAGGCACTGATGAAAGATCACTTTTCGGGTTCTTTTCTGGAACTTTCTGGGGCCTGGGGAATTGGGAGATTATTGACAGTCCTTCCTTACCATCAGGCAACCAGGTTGGCTAAGGCACCTAGTATGAGTCCATTGGAGTAAGCTGCTGGCCTAGATTCCAAGACCCCTCCCTGGCCAAAGATGGGGGGTGGAGGGTGGGGCCCATTACTCACAGCTCAGCCAGTTAGATGGTTGTGGAGCTACAGCCACCAATTCACCCCAGTTGTTAAGCCTGTGCCCAAACCTCCTTCCCCTCTGGGCCTGGGTATTTCCCAGCACAACCCCCAACCTGGAGCTTCTCTTAAAAATGCAGGCGATCTGGATGGGGCCTGGCATCTATTTTCCAAAGCTTCCAGATTGGTTGGAGGTCTTCCTCTCTCACTATAGGGTCTCTTCCCTCCAAGGGCTATTTGTATACAAACATAAGTGTTTTGTGCCTGGATCTTGGTAAGTGCAAGTACAAATGAGTGCTGTTATCGTTATTATTATTTCTACTGCTATTTTCTGGGCTAGAGAACTGTTGAGATGTATATATTCACCAGGCCAGCCTGGAAATTTGCCCCACTTGGAAACCATCTCTGGGCATGGTTTGTCTTCCTTTCCAGTTGGCCAGTCTGGGTTTTAGCAGCTGCATGTCTGTGACTCTCAGGGCTCTAGCCTTCCTGAGCTGAGCAGGTGGCCAGGACATATGTAGCCAGTAGGGGTTGGGATTGCTGGTTTTCCAGGCCTTTGGGAGAAACCAAAGCCACCTTTACCTCCCCCATCAGAGGAGAGTGAGAGGAGTCAGCCCTGAGTATACAGGCTGCTAGACTTGGGGTGCCTTCCTCGGATAGGAAAAGAGCATCCTCCACCACCACAGTGGCACATCCTTGTTCTTCTAAAGTCCAGGAGACTTGTCTCCTCCAGGTACCTACTTGTCTACAAAGTGGGGGTGATGATTAACCTCCCTGGCAGGACCGCCATAAGGATTCAATGAAATGACACTGGTCGAACATCACAGTGCCTGGCACATGGGGGAGGCACTGTTCCTGTTACCGGCCATTTTTACTGTCATTCATATAACCATTCCCATTATTATTTGTGACAGTGCCAGGCAGCTCCATGGGGACCCAGCAAGCTTCAGGAGCGCCAAGCCCCAGAAGTGCATAGGCTTTTCCCACAGTTGCATCACAAGGGCGAGTCTGTTACTCGGGAGAGCTCCCAGGAGCTGCCCCATCATAGCTGTCTATCTCCAGTGTCCTGTTGATAAGATCTGTTAACATTCTCAGCTCCAGGTCTGAAATATACAAAGAACAGGGCCTGTTTGTTCAATCCAAGCTTCTAAGGTTTAACTCCCAAAGGAAATTAAATTAGGTGCCTGGAGCTATGACAGTCTGTCGTGTTTCTTTGCGGAGAATGTCACCCTTAATACCATGCAGATCTTGTGTATAATTTTTCCCCTTTAATTTTTTTTAAAATAACATGCAGTTGCCAGCAGGATCTAGCAAATAACCAAAACTGAAAATGGAGGAGCAGCTAGGGTTTGTCCTCATTTTTGGTCTTGCTATCCCCTCCCCCAACTGAGTACAAATTAAGTCTACACACAGATGGTGCCACGCCTGGTGACTGCTCTACTAAAAGCCACTATAACTTACCCTTTCCCCAAGACCAGTTCCAGACCTTTGTCAGAGGAGCTGGCTTAGGACTGACTGAACTCAGTGTTGGTGGTATTACCTTTTCTTGAAAAATAACTCTCTTGGAAGTCTTACTGGGTAGCCACAGCCCCTGTGAAACCTCACCCCTCCCTCTGTACTCCCCCACCCCTGCCAACTCAGCTCCAGCACTAGTTACAGCTCCTCACCTATTTACTGCTCTGGCAGAAAGCCCCTAACCCCAAGTTATTTGTGAGTTAGAAATTAGGCCGGGCGCGGTGGCTCACGCCTATAATCCTAGCACTCTGGGAGGCTGAGGCAGGAGGATTGCTCAAGGTCAAGAGTTTGAAACCAGCCTGAGCAAGAGCGAGACCCCGTCTCTACTATAAATAGAAAGAAATTAATTGGCCAACTAATATACATAGAAAAAAATTAGCCAGGCATGGTGGCACATGCCTGTAGTCCCAGCTATTCGGGAGGCTGAGGCAGCAGGATTGCTTGAGCCCAGGAGTTTGAGGTTGCTATGAGCCAGGCTGACGCCATGGCACTCACTCTAGCCTGGGCAACAAAGCAAGACTCTGTCTCAAAAAAAAAAATCAGCCCAGGCTGGGCACTGTGGTTTATGCCTGTAATCCCAGCACTTTGGGAGGCCGAGGTGGGAAGATCACTTGAGGACAGGAGTTCAAGACCAGCCTGAGCAACATAGCAAGAGCCCATTTCTACAAAAAATACAAAATGTAGCTGGGCATGGTGGTGCACACCAGTTTGTCCCAGCTACTCAGGAGACTGAGGCAGGAGGATCACTTGAGCCCAGGAGTTTGAGGTTGCAGTGAGCCATGATGGCACTCCAGCCCAGATGACAGAAAAAGATATTGTCTTAGAAAAGAAAAAGGAAAAAAGATATCAGCCCAGACTGGAGCCATTGTAATACAATTGAGTTTTAGGTATGCTTGTGTTTGTGCCAGCATTTGCAGAAATGGCAATAGGTCCTGGAAATGCCAAAAATATGATTATGACTTTTGTACTACTCAAGCAAACTGGTGATAACTGGTGGAGAAACTGGACTTTTGGAGAGGACACCCCGGGGATAAGAGAGGAGGAGGGGCAGGGCTTAGGCTGTGGGAGGGTTGATGTGTGGTCGTAGTCTATGGAAGAGTTGACCAGTCCCACTCTGGGGAACTCTGAGGAAGAGCTGGGTGAAGGGTGACTCAGGTGGTACTTCCCTGGGCCAACTTTGTCTCCCTCCTCTGTCTCTAAGCCTTATTTCTGCCTTCCTCTAGGCCTGAGCTTGTAGAATGGAAACTTTGGCAAAATGTGGGCCAGTGGTCAGAGCTGGTTTGTTCCTGACTGTGGGCTTGGAGCCTGGGAAGGGTGGGTCTTTTGGCTTCCTGTCAGCCAAGGGAGGGTGCTTGCCCCAGTGGGAAGTGGGCTGCCTTCATGTCTATGTCCCTAGAAGAATGAATAAATGAGTAATGAGGGCCTGGCATGGTGGCTCACGCCTGTAATCCTAGCACTCTGGGAGGCCGAGGCAGAAAAATCGCTTGAGCTCAGGAGTTTGAGACCAGCCTGAGCAAGAATGAGACCCCGTCTCTACCAAAAACAGGAAAAATTAGCTGGGCTTGGTGGTGTGTGCCTGTAGTCCTAGCTACTTGGGAGGCTGGGGCAGGATGGCCACTTGAGCCTGGGAGTTTGAGGTTGTAGTGAGCTATGATAACACCACTGCCCTCCAGCTAGGGCAACAGAGACCCTGTCTCTAAAAAAAAAAAAAAAAGAGTAAATGTCCTTGGGATAAGAGTTCAAGATTTAGAAACAGTACTTAAGGCACCAACTTCAGAGTCCAGACAGCACTGGGATATGGTCTTATCTCAGCCACTTACAAGCCACATGACATTGGGCAAATTATATAACTTACTTGTGCCTCAGTTTCCTTGACTATAGGAGACTGAAAGAGGTGAGCTTTGTGAGCAGTGAGCACAGTGCTTGGTGTGATGGCGACTTTTCTGCTCATTTGGGGGCGGTTTCCTCATCTCGCTTTCACCTCCACCCCGTCTGCTTCCTCCCTTTAGAGTCCTCCATCCTGCAGGCCCCTGGTGAGCCTGCCTGCTCGCCTTCCTTCCTCCACCATCTCACTGTGGCTCACAGTGAGGAAACTTCTGTTCTTATCAGAGTGGATAACTCCCAGGGGAAATCTGATGGGCATTTGATGGTATTTCTCAGGTTTCTGATTCACATCCTCCTCACAGGGAGGGCTTTCCTCAGAGGAGCCCCTCTCCTGGAGCTTTGCCCTGTTTGTCACCCTCTGTGCCCCGCTAGGGTACTCGGGGTCTACAGGAGGAAGCAGGTAGAGCCACAGCCTGGGGTGCAGAGAGTCTGCTGCCAAGGCCAGGAGCCCTATGACAAGGGAAGGGGGAGGTGAAAGAAGGGGTCAGACCTGGCAGAGGAAAGACACGTCAGCAGGGCCTGGTGGGGTGGAAACACGGGGTAAGCTTGGCCTGGCTCTGCAAAGCAGCCTGCAGAGGGCGGGCTGGGAAATGGCCCATCAGGTTGAAGAAGGCCTTATTTTAGTGGCTCTGAGTGCCCTCAGCTTCCTGTGAAAACTTCTTTAGGGGGTGAGGGTGGTGGTTGTGCCAGCCAAATAATCAGGCCAGTGAGAGGCAACCGGGCATCAGACTGAAGCAGTGGGAAATCTGGGAGGTGACCTAGAGCAGGGGTATCTCTGAGAAGTCTGAGGAACTCAGTGGCCGAGGTGGGGCATGGGAGCTCCCAGCCTGAGAGAATGTGGATACTGTGGATGGACGTGCAAGTTGAGAGTCCCTGTCGCATCCCTAAAATAAGAGATGTCTACAATCTCCAAATTCTCTAGCTCAGATGTCCTTGGATGGACCTTTCAGGGCATTTCCAGATTCCAGACAGGGTTTGTATTCCAAATCCAAACAGATTTCTTTTGTCCTACCAAGTTGGGGGATGGGGGTAGGGACATGTGAGCCTGATTGGGCAGGGATGGTGTTGGCAGCAACTCCCCTCTGCCCCTCAGCTTTGCTGTCCCCTCCATTGCACTGCAGCATGCAGGACGCCTGAAGAACTAAAACTAGGGGGTTTTCCAGTGTCATTTCCCTCTGGGACCAGCAGTACCAACACTCTAGATGTCCCTGCCTCCTGTCCCCATTGTCCTCTGACCCTGCCTCCTATCCCCATTGTCCTCTGACCTCTTTCCTTCTCTGCCCTGGTCTGTATGATATTGCAGGCAGTTGGGGGGGGTGCGATTGGGGTATGCGGAGGGGAATGACAGAACAGATGACAGTGAGCTCGTCCCTCCACTATGACCTGAAGAAAAGTCCGTAGAGTGGCAGTTGGAAAAAAGACCATATGTTTTTAAAAAAATAAAGCCTGCCTTGTGCCTTCTTCACAGATTCTGTTGACTGAAGAGTTTGTAGAGAAAATGTTGGAGGACTTAGAAGATTTGACTTCTCCAGAGGAAGTAAGCTTGTTTGATTGTTCCAGTCTCCAGAAGCATGTGCCTGCGTGTGTGCACGTGTGTGTGTGTGTGTGTGTGTGTGTGTGTGTGTGTGTGTGTGTGTGTAAGGGCTCCTCTCTGAGGTGCAGGGACAGGTTAGAGATGTTGAATAGCTTTATTTTTCTTCTGTTTCCATGAACCACTCCCACGTCCTGCCCCACCCCCAGCCCTTGTGAGGACACCCAGCAAACTGTCTGAATTGCCAGCTCCCGAGAACCTTATTGAAGAGGCAGCCAGGGCCTTCAGGCTAGTACGAGTCCTCCCCAGCCCCTGCTGTTCCCTGGCAGGTTCTGAACAGAAACCCCATGTCTGCTGCCAGAGAACATTCCGCTGGGGAGTTCTGGTGGGCAGCAAGGGACTCCTGCTCCTGCCTTGGGCCACCCAGGAGCCACTTTCCCTTCTTCCATAAGCTCTCCCCTCTTTGCCCACCTCTTCCAGGCCTGGCTCAGAGCCTGAGGAGCTGGCAGTCCAGGTGGGGGTTGCGCCTCTCCTGGCTGCTCCTCTGGAGTACAGGAATGGAGTCCATAATCCCCTTTGTTTTTTCTTCCTTGTTCCCGGCATCCTCATTTGTGGGGACTTACCTCATCCTGGAAAGTCCCTTCCCCTCCCTCTGCCTCATAACCGGCACCCCAGCAGGATCTGAGTCTTCCTGGCCTCAATGCCTGGTGGGTTAGTGGAACGTTACCAAGCTGGCCTGGCCTCCGGAGAGCTCTTGTGGGCCCTTCCTTGCCTGTGGCAGACAGACCCTTCCTTGCCCTGTCTGCGGGAAGTGTGCTTGGGGGAGAGCCCCTCACCTCCCGGGGCCAGGTTTCCAAGCCAGAGGAGGCCAGGCAGGAGCTAGGTTTCCACCAGGGTTGGAGCATCTAGCTGCCAGGGCTCCGAGAGCCTGTCAGCCAGGACACAGAGGCCTCTGGTGATCAAGAGGCTGAAGAGAGTGCACAGGGTGGGACTGTCCTCCCTAGGTCTCCAGGTGGACAGGAACTCCTCAGAGCCAGAGGTCACCCCAATAGAGCAGTGTCTTCTCTGTCCTCTGGGATGCGGCTTGATAAATTAATTCATTTATACATTCCAAAGTCATCAAACACCCAGGCTGTGCCAGCCAATCAACCCCCTACAAGTCACCGGTCCCTGAGGCCCAGCTCCCCATTCAGTCAGACCAGAGCCAGCTGCCCAGAAGCGCTTCCGGAGAGGCCGTGTCGCACTGGGATGGCGCTGTGCCAGGCTGCTCCTTTGAGCTTGGGTGTTGAGGAGTGGGAGGGGGACAGTCCAGGCAAGAGGGACAGGAGCCAGGGGGAGCTTAGGAAAGTAGGTCATTAAAAATGACTTTTTTTCTTGTTTTGCTTTCCTGTCCAGAGGCTGTCGCCATATTCTCCCCCACCCTACACTTTGGTCCTGGCATGGACAGTCCCCCCATCAGTGGGAGGGAAAAGGGAGCCAGCCAGGGAGTGTCGGGCCTGTCTGCCTCCAGCCCCAGCTCAGGCAGGCTGAGAGCACTGTCTTCTCCTTTCCACCCTGGCCCTGACTGCTGGCCTAGCTCCAGGACAGTGAAAATTGTGAAAAAGACCCTGTTTCCAAGCTCCAGCATCAGTCCAAGTCAGTGAGCATTTATGGAGCATCAGCTGTGTGCCAGGCTGCATGCAAGATCCTAGAGTACAGAGGGAATAAGATATGTCAGCCTCTTCTCCTTCCCTGCCCAGAAGTTTCCACATAAAGGGGAGAAACAAAACTACGCATATCAATGATTCCTAGGTTAGGGTAGGAAGACCCTGGGCTCTCCTTGGCCACCACTGGGATCACTCTGAGGCTAGTAACCTTGGGAAGTGGATGAGAATGAACAGGGAGGAGCAGGGTGGGGAATTTTCCCTCCTGAGGATGCCCCAGGCCCAAGAGATCACCTCAAGCCACACTTATCCCACTCCTTGGCTCCCACCAAGGTCTCAAGTGTGGGTCTGACTTTGGGGCCAAACCAGGTCCTCTTTTCCTTTAGATCCTTTGGCAAAGGCAACAGAGAACAGATTCCAGGGTCCTTCCTGTCCCAGTGGCTGAAAAAGAGGCCATGGCACTGACAGACCTCAAGCCACTTTCCTGTAGCATCTGCACCCTCCCCCAGGCCCCCATCCTCCAGCCCTGGACCTCAGGGAGCAGATTCCTTACATGCTTGTGGCTGAAGGCAGAACCAAGGAAGTCAGCAAGAGGGAGGTCAGCACAGTGAAGAACGAGTCAGAAAGCTTGCCTCCTCCAGCCCTGGTTAATTATTGGCAAGGCAAGGGGAAAGAAGGGGTCACCCAAGTCCAGCAGCTTGACCCCAGCCTTCCACTTGGGTCTAGCAGCTGAGAATGAAGCCAGGCATCCGGTGGCCTATTTGCTCCCAGCACCTGGTCACAGGGCCCGAGTGAGGGTCCTGGCTTCTCTCTAGGCAGTCTCTGGGAAGAAAGCGCTGGATTCTGCTAACCACATGCACTCTGGGTCTGTGCTTGCTTCTTCTACAGTTCAAACTTCCCAAAGAGTACAGCTGGCCCGAGAAGAAGCTGAAAGTGTCTATCCTACCTGACGTGGTGTTCGACAGTCCGCTGCACTAGCCTGGGCTGGGCCCTGCAGGGGCCGACGGGGAGCCCAGCTGCTCCCCTGTGACTTCCAGCTTCACAACTGCGTAAACAAGATTCCCACAAACGAAAGGACAAGTGTGAGGATGACTGCGCAGCCACCACACCCGCAGCCTGGCGGGATGCCGTGCACAGGCCACAGGCCCCCCACTTCACCTCCAGCTCAGGGGCCTCACCCCGCAGCTGGCCAAGCCCATGTGACCAAGCCCTGGTCCTCCTGGCTAGTGAGCGGGTGAATGCAAACCCACCTGCCTACTGCCACCACAGATTCTGGTTTGAGATTTGACTCTGGACCCTTGATGTGCCCTAGGTGGAGACAGGCCTCACTCTCACCCACACCCTGCCACACAGCCCAGCAGGAGGGAGGTGGGAAGCCACCAACGCAGAGTGCGTGTGGCTGCACCGCCCGGCTCCACCCGGGAAGCCTTTGCTAGTCAAGCTCCTCTGGCCACGGAACAATCCTCCAGTCGTGTTTGGTTTTCTTTTTCCTTATTTTATTTTATAGAAACCGGATGGTATTTTATTGCTCTGCAAAGATGTCCAGAAGCCATGTATATAATGTTTTTAAACAGAACTTTATTCCCAGATGAACTTTCTTATTCTCTCAGACGGGGCTGAGGCTGTGTCTCTCCCTGCGTTGCCACCAGAGAAGGTGCCCGGGGTCCGCCTGCCAGCCCAGAGCTCTGGAGGGCCCTTCACAGAGAGGCTTTTCTTCCCAGCTGGGCCTGGTGGAGCCCAGGGTAAGGGGAGAGCGGAGACACCTGCTCACCCGCTCAAGCCCATGCAGCCTTGAGCCCACTTTAGCTGGATCCAAGAAGAGGTGCTGCTGTTTTCCAAGTGAACTGGGTCCCTACAAGGTTTGGGGACCTTCGAGGTCTCAAAAGACTTGGTGGCCCCGGCCTCATCTTCCAAGCCTTTTGTACCCAACCAAGCCTTTCTCAGAAAGGTTGAGGCCTAGCACCTCCCAGACCATTCCCCACTGCCATTCAGAGCCTGTATCCTCAGCTCTGTAACCAGTCCTGTCCCATTTCCTCATCCCCTGGGCTTCCCAGCCTCCAGGCTGCAGGACTGGCTTATTAAAAACCAAGACATCAACTTCTCAACATCTCTTTCACTTTGATTTTGCCAACACTGCCATCCCATCCTCCCTGCATCCTTTCGTTCCCCAACTTTCCTTCCCCATTTTTCTTGTCCTTTCTTCTTTGTCCTTGCCTCTTGTGGTCTTTGTTCTTTCACTGCCAGTACTGTCGATCTCACAGTCTGCCTTTCAGAAGCCAGCCAAGGCCTGGCGTGGTGGCTCACGCCTGTAATCCTAGCTCTCTGGGAGGCCGAGGCGGGCGGATTGCTCGAGGTCAGGAGTTCGAAACCTGAGCAAGAGCGAGACCCCATCTCTACTATAAATGGAAAGAAATTAATTGGCCAACTAAAAATATATACAAAAAATTAGCCGGGCATGGTGGCGCATGCCTGTAGTCCCAGCTACTCGGGAGGCTGAGGCAGGAGGATCGCTTGAGCCTAGGAGTTTGAGGTTGCTGTGAGCTAGGCTGACGCCACAGCACTCACTCTAGCCTGGGCAACAAAGTGAGACTCTGTCTCAAAAAAAAAAAAAAAAAAAGAAGAAGCCAGCCAAGCTCTGGCCCATGGCTTTGGGGGTTCCTCTCAGGTTATCTCTCACTCTTGACCTGGAATCAGCAAGCCCCTTTCCTATCCTCTTACCTCCGACTCTAGGAACTGCTACTTCAAGATCATCCTTCTGACCTCTCCAAAGCAAAGTCATTGTGTCTGTCTGGGCTCCTCATGCAGGGCTCCTCATGACCCCCATCTGCCTCTGCCACTCAGGCACCACCAGGGGTGCCACAGAAGGCCCGTATGTGCAGGACCCTGATGATGAGAGATCCAGCCAAAGAGCTGCCTCCAGAGTGGAGGGCACTGCCCGGGCTCTCCAGGAAGCAAGAGTTGGACCTCCATGGAGCCTAGTGGCCTAGCCCCTTATGCACAGGCCCTGGGCTATCTGGTTAACTGTCAAATTCAGAGCATCAAGGCAGATCAGGCTGGAGCATTTGGGAGAGACCAGCTCCAGAGCCCCACAATCCAAGGCACAAGCCTCTCTGGACCTGACATTGGTGGCAGCTGTGCCTTCTACTGCCCTGAGGACTTTTCCAAAAGGACACTTACTGGTCTTCATGCACCACAGCAGCCCTGCCTTTGAAGCTCTCATCTTCTGACCTTTTGTGGACAGAGAGCTGCCATCAATTTGCCTCCATTCCTTGCCACCCTGAGCAGTCTCCCCAAGTTCTTTCTTGCTGGGAACCTGCCTGAGGGTCCCCTGCTGCAGTTCTCCCTGCCTCTGTCTGTCTGCTTGGGGGACGGGGGGACCGTATTCTGAGCTAAGCTTTGTCATCAGTATGTGAAGCATCTGGTGAACGACTTGCCCCAGGCCTGGAAGACCTTTGTGGACCAATGGTGGGCACCATCGGCATGGTGGCCTTATTCTTAGGGAATGGCCGGGAAAGGCAAGAAGCAGCAGGTGAGCTCTGAGATGATGGGTACGTGAAGCCTGTGAGCCCTTTCTGCCCCCACCATGTCAGGAGCCTCATGAACATCTAAGAACCTGCTTGGGCCAGGCTCTATATCATCTCCCTACAGTCACTAGCTCTGGGGGAGCAGCAGCATCAGCCATCTCTGACCAGGCCTCCTTTCCCTTGGGCAGTGGTGCTCTCCAGAGGTTTCTTGGGGAGGGGGCTCTCCATTGAGCTGCTGGCTAGTGAGAGGGGACCCTCACTGAAGATCAAACAAGGCTGACCTTGTACCATGCCCAGCTCAGCTTCTGGCACATGGTGGGTGCTCAGTAAGTGTGCCCTTTCTTTCTCTCCCTACAGCTCTATGGGAGCCCCTGACCTCGTGGTGGGTGGAGAAGGCAAGGACCCTCCCTCCCTATATCTGCCTCTTCTACAGGCCTCTTTGAGGCTTGCCTAGTCCTATCCATTCCTCCAGGCCCCTGAAGTTTCGGAGTTTCTGAAAAGGGGCTCCCCTCTTGCTTTTTGCTCCATAAGACAGGCTCCTGTGGCTCTCCAGGTCCAGTATGGGCTGCAGGAGGACTGCAGACCAGCTGCCCTTCTGAGGGGCTGAGAAGGCTCATGCAAGGTCTCAGGTCTGGCCGGGGAGCAGGTGCCTCTTCCTGCCCATCTCTTCCTCTCCCAAAGGCAAGGCTCCAGGGCAGGGCCTGGGGAAGCCTGGAGGAGAGTCTGAAAGGGCTAGAGTGTTTTACAAAATAGACACAGGGTCTTGGGATTGGGTTTTGAGATGGAGTTGATGGCAGGGAGAAAACCTGCAGGTCGGTGCCCCTATGGGGCAGACCAGTAGAGAATTTCCTTGACTGTATTTTTTTATCTGGTCTTCCCTCTCTGGCTTCCAGGACCTCTGTACTAGGTGAGGTACCTGGGTCTCTGTTCAAGTCAGGAGCCCTATAGAGAGACCCCTCCTTTTGTATAAGTACCTGAATGCTGCAACAAGCAGACTTTTGTAAAATTTTCTATTAGTTTTTAATGTCAGTGGCAACGCGGTTCCTGGGGCTGCAGCCAGCCTGGGACTTTTGTAAGAACTTTTGGGTGACTCACTTAGATGTTGGTTCCTTCTTGCCCCTCATCCTCTGTGTAATCTACATGCATTAAACATACTTGCAGAAGTGCCTGGGTTGTGTGCTCCTTTCTGGCTGCCTGGAGTAGGGAGCAGGAAGCCTGGGGCCCTGGCAGAGGGGGTGGGTTGGACTCCGCACTTGGAAGAAGCCCAAATGGGAGAAGGCCCCCAGGACCGTTGTTGGGAGTGGAGAGGGTGCCAAGGAGTGGGACCACACAGCTGGTGACTGTTCAGTCATGCAGAAATGATTTTGCAGGGACAGGCTCTCCCTCACTGTCTTGAATTTCTCTAAGGTCAAGGGGATAAGAGTGAGGAAAACGGTCTGGAATGAGTGGGTGGGTAAAGACTCTTTCTGCCACTCTCCTACCCTCCTCTCACCAAAACCCTCTTTTCCCTTGGGAAGGGGGGCCCCAACAGGTGAGGGAGGTTGGCCTTAGTTGCCTCAAGTTTTGGAGCCCTTGTTCCCCCTTCCAGCTAGCCACTCCCCTCACCAAGCAGCTAAATTCAACCTCCTAATCCAGGGCCTGAGGGCAGGACCCAGGTGGAGGGACAATGTCAGAACCAGTGGCACCCACTCAGTGACACAAAGGCCAGGCAGTCTCAGAACAGGTGGCACCCACTCGGTGACACTGAGGCCAACTAGCAACCCCCTGGGCCTGGTGTGTGTGAGGAGGCAGGTGTCCCCTCCTTCCCTGGACTGCCCAGCTCCTGCCTCTCCAGGGCCTGGGGTCAGCCCAGGGTGGAGGGTGTGTGGGGAAGAAGGCAACAGCCTGGGACCTTACAGGCAGGCAAGATGGGGTTTGCACCCAAACAGTGTTCTCGGAACCTGTGGGACCACCCCGGGCCCTCACATTCTGTCCCTGCCGGCTAGGCCTGTTGTTTCATCATGGGGAATGGCAGGGCCTTTTTTCCTGCTCCTCAGGATGGAGCTGCAGCACCCAGGGGCCCTGCTGGGGCTAGTGGCAAAGGTTCTGGGACAGCACAAGCAGGGGAGAGGAGAGGACTTCAGCTCCTGTGAAAGGACTCTTACCTCCTGTCGCCATCCTCTCTGAAACCTAGCTGTCTGGGGGACCTTCCTTGAGAGGTCAGCAACCCTCTTTCCCCTGTGACCTCTTACTGAACTCTGGCAAGTGGCTGGCCCCTGGAGCAGTGGATTAGGTCCTATTTGTGGCCCTCGTCCCTCTGGTGCTCAGAAAGATGGAGTGGGAGGGTCTGAAGCCAGGCTAGCAATTCCAGGGTGGCCTAGGCCACAACCATCTCCTTTATCCCTGGAGATTGGGGGGGTGGGGGTGCTTACCCTCCTCATCTGACTCTAGCCTAGAAGAACCCAGGGTCAGTGTGAAGTTCTTTCCCCAAAGAATGTAGAATAGCAAGATCCTGTGTTTAGGTGGTTCTGGGAGACAGTACCAGGCTGAGTTATTTTGAGAAAGAGAAGGGCTCCTGGGGCTAAAGCAAAGACCCTATCCCTAGATTTAGTGAGTGGAGAAATCTGCCATGCGATCTCTAATGTCTCCTCCAGGAAGTGCTATACATTCCTCCAAGTGTCTGCTCTGCCTCATCTGGGGGGGCCGGGGGCCCTGAGGAGAGGGGCCCACAGGCTCCAGGGCCATGGGGCCAGAGAGCCTGAGAGATTTGCCAAACTGGCCTGACCAGAAGGAGAATGCAAGCTGGGAGTGACTCAGCCCAGCCTGCCAGGCACTGAGGCAGCTGCAGGCTGTAGGGGGTGGGGGAGGCCAGGGTAGGGGTGAGCAAGGTGATTTGCTGGGCAGAAGAAGGGAGAAATCTGTCCCAAGACTGCAGGGGCAAGGGCAGGGACAGGGGCAGGGCAGGTTGTGGTGTGAAAGGAGCACCCTTCTCCAGGCCCTTTCCATGGGGCATGGTGGGTTGACCTGGCCCCTCCTTCCTCCTCAGTGCCAGGAAGTCTTTGGGAGACAGGTGAGGGCAGCCCACTG